TATATAATAACTATAATTATTATTATTATAGCCAGGGATTTACAGAAATGCAGGCTGTGGAAAATTGTAATAAATTAATTTAAATGAATTAATAAATAGATAGATAGATAGATATGTTTTATTTATTTATCCATTTATTTATTTAAATTTGCTATAGTTTAGACTTTTCTAAATAACATGCTTTAGTACAGTGGCAATATAAAAACATATTTTTTCTTTGAATTTAGTTACTTTGTGTTGTAATATCAAACTTGCTATTTTTCTCAAATTATTGATGGGTGGGCTTTATTAACCAAAATACAAATACTACAAATCCTTCGCAAGAAGATGATAATATTTTGGGATCATTTACATCAACAAACTTGCCAAGACCCCCTTCACTCCAGTGCTCACTGATCCCTTGATTGAGCAATAGATGCGAGAAAGAAGCTTTGTCGTTCTATGAAAAGTATCTTACATAAAACTCTACCGAAGGGAGGTTAATCCTTCGTTTAAGAAAATCAGAATAGAGCGATTTGGCGCGCGCTGCACACGGACACATCACAGATCAAATGAGTGCAAATCCAGACAAACATGAGCCCAGCAATCTGTGACAAACATTGTTTAGAGCCAGCAAGTAACAAAAATGTAATTCTAAATAATAAACTCTTACAATTCAGAGTAGATCTGCAATATAACTTATAGTTCAGGTAGCAGGAAATATAATACAAATGTGCACGTTAGAGTAGCAATATTATAGTGGTCATAAAAGAGTGAAAATAGCTATTATGTCAAGCTCACTAAACATTTATGCATGATGCATATATATTAAAAAGTTGTTTTGCCCAAACTATAACACATAATCTTTGCCTACGACACACACGCCCATTTTAAACATTTTATTCGCCAACTTCTGTCAAACCTGTAGAGAAACGAAGTGGCGCCGCGTGTCTTATCCAGTGATCTGTTGGATCTGCTGCGTTTGAAACTCTGGCTCCATGAGATTGCGCCCGTGCTGGTCCCTATAGAGATCGTGTTATGGCAGTGATCAGGTCGCATTCCCGGCGGATACTGATGCTGTACTGACTCTGTCTGCCCTCTGTTCCGTTACCTCGGTTGCGTAGGCTATTAAAGCTTTGATTGAGCTTGCGCGGAACGCCATGGGGAATTTCCACAGACTGAGGCTTTAAATAACTAATCCTGCAAGCCACAACAAAAGCTCCTGACCTCAGAAGTGGCTGAGTACATTTCAGGGGCGGAACTAGAAAATTATTTTTTCGGGTGGCAACACCAAAGCAAACAACATTCAATCATCTATACATAATCTAGGCTATAGGCTATATCATCTATACAACAACTAGGCCTATACTACACTCATAAAGGTGCTTTAAAAGGTTCTTCACAGCGATGCCATAGAAGAACCATGTTTGGTTCCACAAAGAACCATTCAGTCAAAGGTTCTTTAAAGAACCATCCCCTTCTTACCTTTTTATAATCTGGACAACCTTCTTTTGCCACAAAGAACCTTTTTTTTTTTAAACAGAAAGGTTCTTCAGATGTTAAATGTTCTTTTTGGAACCATTTAGACAAAAAGGTTCTTCTATGGCATCGTGAAGCACGGTGATTTTTATGAGTGTAAGTAC